AAGACTAACAAGATGGTTTATTAGGTGATGAGCTCATCACCTAATAAACCATCCTCTAAGTCTTCAAAGTGCTACATGACTGCTTTTTTTGTTTCACTATTTTGCTGTCACCACTGACCTGGATGACAGATGAAATAGTTACCCAGAAGAATACAATGTGGTAACCCATTGCCAATCACCTGAGATATCCATTCCCCAGAACTCCATTAGGACATTTGGAGTCAGGGGGAGGGAATAGAAGAGAGGGAAGAGGGAAAGATAACAATCAATTTTCCACCCCCTTCCCCCACGCCAAGCACTTACTCACAACACTTGTTATACCACAGGAATTTCCTCAAAAGCCAAACTTTTAAAAAGATGGATAATGAGACTGGAGCTTTGTTTGGAGATCAAGAATATTGGGGGAAGGGATATTGATCTTTGCATTTCAGTGCTTAAAACAATCTCTGATAGAGATCAGGATGAATCCTAATGGGGGGAGGGGTAAATTATTGGCACATGCAGGATACTTGCACCTTCCCCTGAAGCATCTCATATACGCCACTTGCTGTAGAGAGGTACAGACAGGATGGACCTTAGTCTGAGCCTCATGAAATTCCTGTGTTTATTTAGGAAAGATCCATAGGGTAAAACTAGCTGTTCCTTTGCTGAGCATAAAAGTTACCAGCAATACAAGAATTAAACGTATAATCAAATATCATCTCAAATATTTTTGGCATTGATAACTATATATTGGGGGTTAACACAGGATGCTGCCTGTGTGTTGGTGGGAGGGGGGCAGAAAAATAATGCTTCATGACAACTATTAATGAATTAACAAATCATTATGGAATCAACCACTTGGCAAATCCCAATTGTGTATAAAGGTTTGATTCCCACAATTTTCATGTTGGTTTGAGAATTTAACAAATGCTCTAATTTGGTGTTCAGCCAAGAACTTGTCAACTTTGTATTGAGATCATTTATTAACATATTAAACAGACGTGTATGTTAGGAGTAAAATATCTGCAACAGTTGTCAGAGAATGGTGCTTTCTTTTATTTTGTGAATAATTTTGACAACCATAGGCAGTTAAGTTTGAACACTTAAATGAATCTGATTTTCGGATAAAGAATCTAATCAATTTAACTTTCCTTAGGTGCTTACCACTAAACTATCTATGCTACAGGAGGTCATTGAGTATCATTTCCAAAAATACCTTAAATGGAGAAGAGAGAACAATAATTCATAAGAACTGTCAGGAAGGCAAATAGCAGTCAGGATACATAACACAATCCCTGACCAACCCAGGGATGAGAGGTTATCTTCACAACTGTTGGATCATAATTGTTGTTGTTAGTTATTATTATCCTAGGTGCCAGCTACTTCCTTGTTCTGCCCCAGACGCTGACCCCACTTCACCCTTTCCCCAATTCCCGGTCCCTGCCCCACCCTTTCCCCTTCCTACTCTTTCCGCAGCTCCTCCTACTCTGTCCCTCCACTCCACTTCTTCTCTCAAACTTCCAACCCCCGTTCCGCCCCTTTCCCTGTGTGCACCCCATTCCCATTCCTGCCCTCTCCCCAGCTCCTCCTGCACACTATGGAACACTTGTTCACAGCAAGGAGAAGATGTGGGGAGGGAAAGGAAGGAGCTGATTGGTGGGATCACATTGGTGGGATCTCCATTGGGAAGGAGTGGGGATAGGGCACACCTGGAGCACTCACTAAGTCAGCATAAATAATTGTTATTATAAAACATTTATAAAAGCACCATGGATGTGGACATTGCTGAAGAGAGAAATTGAAGACACACTCTCAGGGTACGTCTATACAGCAACATTATTTTGAAATAACTAGCATTATTTCAAAATAACTTAGTGCACATCTACACAGCAGGCAATTATTTCAGAATGATGTTGAAATACTGTCAAGCTGGAGGACTTCTTACTCCAACTCCTGTAACCCACATTGTATGAGGAGTAAGGGAAGTCAGAGGAAGAGTGCTCTATTTTGAAATAAGTTCTGTGTAGATGCTCCCTACTTTGAAATAAGATATTTCAAAATAAGCTACACAATTGACGTAGCTTAATTTGTGTAGCTTACTTCAAGTTAAGCCCTGCTGTGTAAATAAATATATGGAGATATACCCATCTCATAGAAATGAAAGGGACCTTGAGAGGTGATCTAGTCCTAGCCTCTGCCCTCCTGGCAGGACCAAGTATCATCCCTGACAGATTTACCCCAGGTCCCTAAATGGCCCCCTCAAGGATTGAACTCACAAACCTGGGTTTAGGAGGTCAATGCTCAAACTACTGAGCTATCCCTCAGTCTCAAAGACCTAGCCATTTTTAAAAAAAGTTCTGCTACTCCTCTCAACTTTTTAGTATTGCATTAGTACATGAGAAATGTCATTACAGGTAGAGCAAGAATAGTGAGACATTCTTGATGAAAAACATAACATGACTCAAAGATATATAAGACAGAGCAAGGGCAAGGGAAAGAAATAAGACCTAGACTGTCATTAATCCTAACATGGCCACATTGGACACATTCTTTTTGCCTCCTTCTCTGATGAAGTGAGAGAAGAACTTCACAAACTGTTCTCCAATATAAGAAAGTGGATTGGAATGTGCTCAGGAATGGATGTGGAGCAGGCAGAGCCACAAATTCTCTCCCCCCACACAGACATAAAGCCCAGTGGAAAAAACCAAGCATAAGAAACATATATGAGGGGAAGTAAACACCTTCACTTTTGAGAGCATAGCTTATGTACCCCACATAGCAAGGAGGAATTATTTGGCTGGGGGAGCAATAAACTATACTTTGCAGAATCCTGAGCCTAAAGTTTTAATTTTGGTCTAAAAACAGCTGTCTTCTCTGTTTCAATTGAGATGTATCTTATCAGCTTTTCTTTAAATGAAATTTTCTGAGGGTTACATTAGCACCACAGTAACTTCTTAAGGGATTGTAGGAAGAAGTGGGTTTTGAAGAAAATGGAAAGAGGAAGTACGTTGATGTACAACAAAAGAGTGGAGAATCTAAGCTTAGTGCCAGAAAAATGACCATTATGATTTAAGATTATTGCATGAAAATTAAAGATCCTTGGAAATTTTCATAAAAGTAGAATTCTGAACCAGAATCTTTGGCCAAAATATTTCTGTATGTATTGGAATACAATATACTGTGCAATGGTTGGTGGCTACCCATAACCACCAACGTGGGTATGTTTCAAGGCTGTCATATGTATTTTGCATACTTTATGAAGCATTTGGGATTCTTTGAGGAAGATGTGATGTGATATATATATATATAGTAGCCCAATGTCTGTGAGTTGGGGGCGCTCTTGCCTCCCGCCATGGCGCTCAGCTGAGTTCTGCGCTGCTCAGCTGGGCTGTGGTGGGGAGTAAGCTGCAGCAAGCGGCTGTTTGGGGTCCGCACTTCCAATGCAGACTGTGATGTCACCGCTCCGCCCCTTTCCCCTCCCACCATGGTGCTAAGCTGAGTGCTGTGCCGCTCAGCCAGGCCGCCGCGGGGGAGCAAGCGGTGCAAGGGGCATTTGGGCTCCCCTGCGGCGGCCCGGCTAATGCCACAGCCCTCAGCTGAGCACCATGGCAGGAGGGGAAGGAGGATGGGTGGTGATGTACACAGCCAGGAGGTGGGGCCGTGTATGTCACCACCCTGCCTTCCTCCCACTCGGCGACCTGGCTGAGTGTGCAGCACTCAGCTGAGCGCCACGGCGGGAGGGGAAGGGGGCGGGGTGGTGACGTACATGGCCAGGGGATGGGGCCCAGCCGAATGAGAGGCAGGAGGGGGAGGAGACGAGAAATGGGAGGCAGGAGGGGGGAGAGAGAAACAAGACGGAGAGAGAGGCAGGAGGTAGAGGAGAGCTGGGAGGGGGCAGGAGGAGGAGAGAGAAAGAGAGATGGACGTGGAGGAGAGTCCCGAAATATCCCGTTGTATGACAGGTTATTGGCTAGTATAAACATAAGGAGACAAATTTTCCAAAGACAACAGTTCCCAGTTAAGCACCTAAATGACATGGCCATATTTTCAAACAAGCTTGTAATTCATCAATTGCTGCCAAGTACAATTTAAAAATCTAGTAATTTCATTGAATTATCTAGTTGAGAAATGAGCTCTCTAGATGCAATTGTCCAAGATTTCTGATGATTATTTCATTGTTAGGTAAGAATATAAAAAAATCCTCTTTCCAGTAATCTTCCATACACCGCTACCACACATTAATTCAATTGCAACAAAATTGGGATCTGATTTTCATTCTGTTTTGGTCATATTATATTTTATACCAAAAATATAACTACAAGTATAAATGACCATACAAGTGGAGAGTCTTGGTCCCAAATCTATTCATATTGAACTGATCACTGAAACATCACGTGAATGGTGTGGTGCACCATTGAAGGAGTGCTTTCAATCTCTCAGAAAGGTATCAACAATTTAAAAGAGAGCAATTAAACTGAATTGGGGAAATATAACACCTCTTTCTTTCTCAGCCCTTGTCAAGCTATCATTCCAAATTTAAGATTAATTGATTAGGTGCAAGTTTTCAATTTAACTTTCTCTGTGTACATACACACAAAGTAATTGTGTATATATGCATATATAGCTGTGAAGGATGTGATAAGCAAATCTGTAACACGAGGACATTGGTGACGGATCTGGGTAAAACTTGTCCTCTGCTATGATATTAAGTAATATTCGGTGTCATGCTATTTGTAGTGCAAATACATTTATATTTTATTAATATTCTTTTCCCTGAGAGACTTTGTGTAAATAAATTTTAACCATGCAAATGTTTGATTTGGGTTTTTTTTTAAGAAAGCAAAGAATTACGCATGAGTCAGGCAGAAGTAAATCCACTTTGAAATTCATGCAGATACAGAACATTTCATATCATATTCACCTGGCGCTAACATACAATATCACTTAAACAGTTTCCTTATATTATTTTTCTTTTGTTTGACAGAATTGCATAGCATTTCATTGGAGACTGAGCTTACCTCCCCTTCTGTGGACTGCAAGTGCAGTTCTTTTCTACAGGTTGCCTTTAAGTCTCCTGCAGCTGCACTAACCTGTACTCCCCTGGGAGCTTCCATTATCAAAGATCTAGTTGGAGACTCAAGTCTGAAAAATAAAAGTATCCATTAATAAAAAAATCCCCAAACCTCATACAAACAAACCAAACAAATAAACCCTCTCATTCCAGTAATCTTTCATGAATGTGTTGATGAAAATCCTGTCAAAACAAAGAAAATAAAAAGTGAATTACTGCATGAGTTGTTCATGTATTATTATTTGTAACTCAGATTCAAGAAAGCACCAAAGCAAGAACTTACGTCCATCACTGTTTGAGAAAGCACTTAAGTACATGCCTAACGTTATGCTCACTGTACTCCTGAGCAATGCTTTCTTGAACTGAGAACTAATTTAGTTGATAGTTGCAGAGTTTTTGTTGTTGCAGATATGCTGCTTTGTACGGCAACTATATGCTGAAAAATAGTGTCTAGCCCATGTATGTAATGCTACATGTGCATCTAAAATCTAAATTGAAATGTTTCCTTTGGATTTTTTAATAATAGTTTCAATTCCCTGGGACCTTTTCTTCCTTTACAACATAGAAACAACTCCTACTAAAGGAAGTCGAGTTCCTCATGTGCTTGGGGATGAGGAGGGGATTGATTAGGCCTTCAATCTATATTACTCTGCTTTCAGCTTACATTTTATCCCCTTCTGCAGATTGCTCACTGGCCTCTTAAAATCCTACATTATCTGTCATATTCTCTATTGCTTCTCAGTGCAATTACCACATTTTTCTTTTAGTCCATTTACTAGTCTCCCCTTCTCTAGTGCTTCTTTTACTCACGTACTCTGTCCTTAGGATCCTGAACCACTCAAAGCCAAGGTAGCTCAAAATAGCTCATTCCACTCTCCTCTGCTGAATAAGGGTAAGTCTACACAGCAAAGTTATTTCGAAATAACAGCCATTATTTTGAAATAACTTTAACGGCATCTACACAGCCAAACCGCTATTTCAAAATTAAATTGAAATAGCAGAGGATTTATTTTAAAATTGGTAAACTTCATTCCATGAGGAATAGCACCAGGTGGTCATTGACCCTGGGGAAGAGCTTGCTACCTCCTGCCGCTCCAGCCCCTGCTGCCTCTCCATGTACTGCTCCTCCTCCCACTCCTTATCCCCCTCCTGTTTCTTCCTCCATGCCCTCCCCATACCCCCAGGAATGCTGAGGTCCCCACACCCACGGTGCTGGGAGATAGTTGGGCCGGTGAGACACCCAACCCTGAGCTTCTCCTCCTCCTTCCTCCCCTTGCCTCCCCCTGCCAGCTCCATCCTCCCACGTTTCCCCCTCCCCTCTCCCACCCTTCCTCCTCCCCTATCCCACCTTCTTTACCCAGTCTCACTTCAGTTTCCTTCCCCACACCCCAGTTTTGTTCAATAAAGAGGCTTTGTTGTAATGAACACGTGTCTTTTATTGTACAGCAGGAAGGGGGGAGTTAGGGAAGTGGAAGTGGAAGGACGTGATGGAGGAATGAGGCACAAGCCCCCAGTGGGGCACACCAGGGAGACTGTTACTGCCTGCAGAACATGCTGCCAGGCTCGCAGCAACACGTCCAAGAGAAGCACCAGAGTGCCCAGGGGCAGCTCCAGCTCCATGATGCAGAGTGCTGTGGTTTCTTTAGTGAGAGCAACCAGAGCACACAGAGAAAAAAATGCTTTGCTGTCCCTCAGTGAGGTAGGCAAGCAAGCAGAAAAACCTGAGAACCAGCTGTCCGGGGGGAGGGGAAGGAGGTCCCTTTAAGCACAGGCCTCAGATAGCTTCGGGCAGCAGCCACATAAGATAACTCCTAACCTGATGCCCTGCCAGAACCAGTTACGGACGGCCTTAAATGCAATTCAGCTACCTATCAGTGTGAACGTGCTATTTCAAAATAGGAAAATGCTATTTCAAATTGCATTTTGCGTCTAGATGCGTTATTTCAAAATAAGCTATTTCAAAATAATGCTGTAGTGTAAACATACCCTAAGAGAGTTGTGGTGAGGATTTGTGGTGATGGTGCTCACATATAGGGCTTAATAGGACAGATGTCTAATGCATAGGGCACTGCACTGGGTTTCAAGAAGCATGGATTCAGTTCTTTAATAGTTTAACTGTGTGATCTTGTTTAGAATGAGCAATCTTGGACAAATCAATCTACCCAGTATCTCAGTTCTCCATCTGTAAAATGAGGTTAGCATTGCTTAACCACAAAGAGATGTTATGGAGATTAAATCTATTAATAATTGTGAGGTGCTCAGATAATACCACAACTAGTTAAGTACCTGGAAAGAAAGCTGGGAGAAAAGTGGCTGAAGTGGTTTGTTTCTTTGTATTTTTTGTGTATATATTTTAGTGGGGGCTGATAGATAGCAGTTATGGATTATTTTTCTGAAACCAAAAATACCACATTACTAGATCAGGGCTAATGGAGATGAGATATGAGCTGACTGTCATGAAGATAGCATCAGTCAAATATTTCTCTGAAAGCAATAATTTGGAAGTAAAAATATGACAATTCATCTTCTGATCAGGTATGAAGCATTTTAGTCCCCTGTGTTTAAAAGCCAATGCAAAACTTGAGCAGATTATATTCTTTTAAGTAACAGAAGAGAGAGCTTTTTTTGAAGGCACATATAACATACTTTGTGCTGAATTATTTTGTTTCATGAAAAATGAAGCAATAGTTAATCCTGATTATTAATTATGGTTGTCACTAAGGTAAAGGTCCAAATACAGGCAGTCCCCGAGTAACGCGGATCCGACTTATGTCGGATCCGCAGTTACTAATGGGGTTTTTCTTGCCCAGGAAGACGTGAGCGGCGGGACGCCCAGATGAGGCGCGGTCCCGCTGCCTGCGTCCTCTGGGGCGAGAAAAGCTGCTCCGTGTCTCCCTGGTCTGCTGTGGGGGGAGCAGACGTGCTGCGGCTGTCCCGTTGCCACGTACTCCGTGGCTTTGCTCCCCGTCTCCCTGGTCTGCTGGTCTCCAGCAGACCAGCAGACCAGGGAGACGCGGAGTAAAGCCACGGAGGACCCGGCGGCGGGACCATGGTGCGTCTCAGTCCGCTGCCCGCGTCACCCTGGTCTGCTGGGGGGGGGGTGCAGCTAGTGCCCCCCCAGCAGACCAGGCTTTTCTCCGGACGCCTGTGGTAGAGCAGCTGGGGCGCTGCCGGTTGGTCCCGTAGCGCCGCTCTGGGTGCTACTTGACCAACCCGGCACCACCTCAGCTGCTCTGCCCCAGGCGTCCTGATTCAGCCGCTGCTGAAACTGACCAGCGGCTGACTACAGGAAGCCCGAGGCAGAGTTGCTCTGCCCCGGGCTTCCTGGAATCAGCCGCTGATCAGTTTCGGCAGCAGCGGACTTGGGGACGCCTGCGGTTCTTAAGTTGAATCTGTATGTAAGAACTGGCGTCCAGATTCAGCCTGTTGAAACTGATCAGCGGCTGATTCCAGGAAGCCTGGGGCAGAGCAACTCTGCCTCGGGCTTCCTGTAGTCAGCGCTGGTCAGTTTCAGCAGCGGCTGACTTGGGGACGCCTGGGGCAGAGCTGCTGGGTTTCTCCAGTAGCACCGCTCCTCGGCGCTACTGGACCACCCCAGCAGCACCCAAGCTGCTCTTCCCCGCGCGTCCTGATTCAGCCGCTGCTGGTCAGTTTCAGCAGCGGCTGAATCTGGATGCCAGTTCCAACTTACATACAGATTCAACTTAAGAACAAACCTAGAGTCCCTATCTTGTACGTAACCCGGGGACTGCCTGTAATAGGAAATGGAAGTAAGGGAGGGACCTCTAAAGTAAGGAAAAAAGCTTAAAATATTTATGGTTAAAAATGACAGTTCATGGGATTCACTATTTAATATATACTCTCTTTAAAGACTATCTTTTAGATTTGAAAAACATGACTAATCCATTCATTTATCATTTTGTGCTTATACTATTATTGCTATTATACATAAAAGGCAACTGGAAAGTATTTTTATTTTTATGTTGTAATCAACTCTCTCTTTTTTCCTTTTATTTGTTTAAGTAGATAGGTGCTAGTAAAATATTTATGACTACTTTCACCAGTCCAGAATGTAGATATGCATTATGTTGTTATATATGGAAACAGAAATCGCTAATACTTAGTTATATATTCTATGTGTTTATCATCAGTCTCTCTCGCTCTCACCATTTTTGTAAATCAAGAACAAAGAACAGTATAATATATATCTTGTAATGATCATAAATTTATTCTACAGTTTTGACATCTCTCTTTTTGAGCATCAATTTGCATTCTCCTGCAGTAACCAAAAGCCAATGCAAATTGTTTTCATAGGAAATTTAGGCCAGAGTTGAACATTCTGATCCAGAAACACACTCATTTTGGTTGGTGCAGATATAATTTCAGGATTGAGGCAACAGACTGTTTTACAATCAAACTGGTGCCAACATGAAATGATTAAATATTTAAGTAGTATTGCAGAAATATACATATAATCCATTTAGATGTTTTAATGTTATGGAGTAGGATTTTCAAAAATGCTTGGACTAATGGCATGCTTAAATGTTATGACTGTTTATTACTGTTTGTTTTATTTCTCAGTATAATTCAGTGTGCGTAATGTTACTTAGAACTTTATTTTCTATAATCTATATATATATATGTTATGTGTTACTTGTATCACCTTTTAGTCAGAAGGATGAAACTGCCCTGTTATATGAATTTCACTGAATGGATAACATTTAAAATACA